ATACATATTGTATAGTTTATTATATACAGTATATACTGATATTATAATAAACTAGAATATTATCAAAACAACAATATTATTATTAAAACAACATATAGGATATCGTACATATATTAAATATTTGAAAAATACTACTACTATTATTATTACTATAAGATAATTAGTTATACAATTGACTTAATTTTTTTTATATATAATAAATGAATAGTTCAAAAATTATAATTAAAAATTTGTTGTTTAAGTGTGTGTGTGTTTATAATAATTATAACGCCAATTTTCTAATGAATTGAAAAACTAATTAGCTGTATAAGAAAATACAGTATAAATTTATATATAAATATAGACAAACATAAAGAGTTAACACTAAATGTTAGAAAAGGGGTTATAGAGGGGTTAGGAGGGTTCATAAAACAAACTAACATAACTAATATTTATGCTAACTATTGAAGACATACATACACACACACACACACACACACACACACACCGATACGGTTGAGGTTTTAATTAAATATGCATTAATTTTTTTTTGGCGGATAATTTATTTTTCAAAAAAAATACTAATAATTATTATATTATATAATATTCACACACAATTACACATACTGTAGATACATATGATTTTAATCTGAGAAAAATACAGTATATATTTTATATATATATATATATATACTGTATATATAAATTTAAGAGAAAAACTCACAGCAAAAGGTGTTGTTTATCACGATTTTTTGATTATAATCATTGCCACTGATTTTATATTACAGAGAGAGAGAGAGAGAGAGAGAGAGAGAGAGAGAGAGAGAGAGAGGGATGTTTAGAAGGTTATCATCTCATAGATGTAACCATTATATAAAAAAATTGCTACAATTTTATTTATAATAAGCCAATTGATTGCATTTGATTTGTTTATCTCTCTAAACTATTTGCATGTATTATATATTAAAATAAATTGATACATACTATATTTGATTTATTAATATATAATATATAAATAATTTTTTTTATCTTAAATATATTTATAAATAAATTTTATTATTGTTGTTGTACAGTATTATCGTGATCAAAAATATTATATTTAATGTAAATTTTATGGCAATAATATTTATGATATGTTTATTGTCTATACATATACTGTATATTATATATATATTTATAATAATAAATATATTACAATATTTGTTGTTGTTGTTGGTATTTATTTATTTAGAAAGTGATGCCAAATAGCAAATACTTATATATATTATATATTAGTTTATATCTGAGAGAAAATATTTATATTTATAAATATTATTATATATAATGTTATTTTTTTGTTGACTAAATAGGTTCGTGAAAACATCAGAAAAGTCGTGTCCCATAAATGCATAGTACTGTCGCATATTATATATATACTGTGTATTATATATAGATATATATATATAAATATTTCCAACAAAAAATTATGATAATTTTATTGATCATTAGTTTTAAAAAAATGTTTAATAATAAATATATAATATCATATTTATATAATGCTTTAATATTATTTAGTATAAAATTGTTTTCTATTTATATAGTTATAATAAATTATATTTATATTTATTTATTAACACCATATATTCATATAAATATGTTTGGCAAGTGATACCCCCTACCCCCCAAATATACAATTTGTTTTATAAATAAAATATTAAAATGTTTTGATAAAAACATCACTAATATAATTTTTTAAAATTTTATAAAAAACTAACAAATATTTTTGTTATTTATAAATAAATGTTTTATTCATCAGATAAATGATTCACACAGTAACCAAATTTCATGATTTGCATACTTAACAAAAAAATTATTATTTATAAATTTATTTTAATAATAATAATAATAAATATTAACTATATTTATATTTTTTATATTCAGTAATTTTTATTGCCATTGAGTCTAATATACTGTTTTTTTTTTGAAAATTATTTTTAATATTTTTTTTATTGCTTCAGCAAAATAAATAAATAGAAATCTATTTCAAATTATATCATTTACCAAATAAATGATAGAAAATTATATTATAAATACATGTATAATAATACTGTACTGTATAGTGAACATGTGTTACAAGTGTGTTAGATATTAAACATGAAAATATTATTATTATTATTATTAATATTAGTGGTATGGTTATAGGGGTCCATAAATTGGTGTCCAATTCATGCATATATATATAATTTATATACAGATGATTGGTGTCTATGCATTAATTTATAAGTAATATTAATAATATATAATATTATTCAATGGTAACTAATAGTCCATCTGTGATTGTAACTAATAATCATATAACTTATATATAGTACAGTAGTTACTTATATAATAAATTTATATATATTGCCTAAATATTCAACTCAATTACCTAAAAACTGATTGGTATTATAATATTTATGGTGATAAATATACCCAATATATTTTAGTACTGTATAACATTGCAATTACTATTCACAACACTATATACCGTATATATATACAGTATATATATATATATATATATATATATATAGATGCTGTACTCTACAGTAGTTATTATAGTTTTAAAAAAATAAAAATACATATATGATATGCTTTTATAAAATGATATTTGTGTGTTTGTGTGTATATATGTGACTAACCAAGCTATACAAATAGTATTGTAAATTTATTATACATTATTTATAAAAAATATACTATATATAACTAGAAAAAATTATATAAATTTATAGTACTGCTCTCTCTCTCTCTCTCTCTCTCTCTCTCTCTCTCTCTCTCTCTCTCTCTATGTTGCAAATTGAATGGCTTATGTATGCACTTTCCTCATGTTATACAATGGCAAACACATACTATAGTGAGCGTCGACACAATTTGCAGATGCAGTTAGAGATGATGAGGATAGAGAAAGAGAGAGAGAGAGAGAGAGAGAGAGAGAGAGAGAGAGAGAGAGAGAGATCACACTGTTTGCTGGGAATGGCATCCCTTAATGACCCGTTCCTATGTATTTTGTCAATCTTATAGCAAAGTCTCTAATATGCCCGAAGCCATTTCGGGGGAGTTTTTAGTTCATACATAGTATATACAAATATACTGTATATATAAAGTATATAAGTTTTGAAAGACGTGATGTGTATGTGATGTCTATGATTGGGAATTATATTTATATATAAAGTATTTTTCATGCATTAAATTACTCGCCAATTCAATGCATATATAAACTACTACTCTATAATCAATTGTGAGATACCATTGACTAATACAATACTTTTTTGACTATAGTATATATATACACACACACAAACACACACACACACACACACACACACACACTATTAGCTTTTCACTTGCATTTGCAATCAATGTCTTTATATACATTATATATAACATTAAATTTTTTTTGGGTTGAAAATTCATATTAATATTTAAAAGCTAAACTCCAAACACATTGTGTGCATATAAACTATTGTTTGCCAAATGTGTTGTACAATCAGTATTACACACAAAAAAAACTTATTTTTATCGTCGATACAAATGTTAAGTTTCTTTTCTTTTTTATTATTATTATTAAATATATCTCTTTATATATATATATATTTCTCCCCAAAGTTTTTGATTATCATTTAATAATTGAATGAATGAAATACTGTTTAAATTATTGAATAATTCAATCGGCCCAACATTTGATTTTGTACTGTACTTATCTATTTTTTAAAATTTTATTTTATATAACCCATAGGCTGTATGTTATGTATTATATAACCAAAAAATAATAATAATGTCTTTTTCTACAATTATCTCTTTTATTATATATATATTATTTAGTGTGTGTGTATGTGTGTGTGTGATGACAACTGTGCAAATAATTTACATAAAATCTTAATAACTTTTTTTCCTTAATGTATAAAATGATATTGTATTATATATAATACTGTTATATACTGTATATTATATTCTATGTATTAAACAATAACTTTATATATAAATTAATGATTTGATATTTAAAGCAATTTAATTTATTTAAAAAAAATCTTTCAATCTTATGTTTTTAAAGTAATTATAAATTTTTAATTATAATTTAAACATTGCTCTAAACCACATATGATAAGTAAATTGTAAATTGCAAAGAATATATTGTATAATAATAATACTAATAATAATAAAAAATTTCTTAAACATATAAAGTAAACTTTAAAATCCCATATTAATTATACAGTATTTTTAAATAATATTAATATAAAATGTTAACTAATTATTATTTTATAATATTTTTTGTTTTATATACTATACTGTATAATACAGTTACTTACATAAATTTATATGTATTATATGTACTTAATTTAAATAATAATGTATAATAGTTTATAGTTATATGCAAATAGATTTTTAATGCATAAGATATGCCATTTATAGTATAAAATAAGGTAATTATGATTTTTTTTGAAAAAACTAGTTTAAAAATCAATTTTATTATAATTAATTAAAAATGATTTAACGATATAATAATAAATAGAAATTTTATGTGAAACAAATTATACTTAAAAAAAACTATTTTTTTCTATATAACATTTTATATATTAACATTTAATTATCATAAATAGTTTGACTAAAAAAATTATATACGAATTTATTAGCAAATAGCTTATTAAAAAAAATATAGTTAATTTAGTAAAACTCAATCATAATTTTTAATAACTAATTAGTAATTATGTTTTATTATTATTATTTTTTATATTTATTAATAAGTGTGCACGCGATTAGCGTCAATCAATTTATATATAGATTTAACAATAATTGTATTGAGAGAAAAAATAAATAAAAATTCAAAAAAACACAAATTCAAATTAATTGCATTATTATTATTATTATTATAGTATTATTTATTACTGTATTATTAACTAATTATAAAATTAATATTTAAAATAAATTTGTTTTTGTCTATAATTTTTTTCAACGTTTTGATTACAACGATTATTATTAACAAAAACTAAACAATTTTTAAATATTATTATTTGACTTTAAAATATTCATACAATTATACTGTATCTAATAATTTGATTATCACAAGTGGTTAACTGCATATCCTCATTACCTGATCCCTTAAGACAGCTGATCCATAGTGTCAGTTGTTCACAGAGTGGTGTCGCTTGTGATGTCTGATTTTGTTGAGACATATTTGGCATTCATTGTCGTCGGTATCATATGGCTATCAATGGCTATACTAGTGCTGTTAGTCTATCTACTGTTCCCGCCGGGCATCGACTACTGGGACAAAATGTGCGACAAATGTACGATCTCGACGGCCAACTATCGCTATGTAATTCGGTTCGTATTCGGCAGCTTTAGGCCGGCCTTTCAAATATCCAAAACGATCATTTCGGTCGGCATTCTGGACAGTGCTAAGACAGTGGTTGTACTTAGAATACAACCAAAACAACTGGAACAAAGTGTCCAACATCGGGACTCAACACAACTTCGGGAATGCCGATTCTTGCTCTACCGATTGGAACCGTTATCGGACATACGTCACGTAGTGGTCAACCATAATGGCCAGGCCAGTATTAATGTCAGCTTTATCGAGATACAAGATCTGGCCAGTAGAGAGGCCAATATTGCCTACGTCGGACAGGCCATCAATAATATATCAAAAGATAAGGTGTCCAATACTGTCCAACAGTATCCGGCGGCCAGTCGCGAGCCGCGCGATATTGAACCAGAACTGACCACCGGTCAGACGATGACCGCCTTGGAGTACATGCTGTTGATCTTTGTGTCCATCAATTACATCCTATTGCAGACCATTTTTATCATACCCTGTATCGATGGCATGTGCTCTGACTATAGAAACGAATTTGTCGACTCCCTGTTTGCCGGACTGTTGGCCAGTCTGTGTACTACAGTATTGTTTGTATGTCTGTGTGTTGTCTACCGGTATCTCATTAAACGATTGTTATATCGATCAAAAAGTTCAATGGTTTGGGTCGGCATCCGATACGGGTTTCTATCGGTGTGTATGGCAGCGGGTATTGCATTCGGAGGCGCCTCCTTATTCTTGACGTTGCAAAATCGCCATTCCACTGAAGCCCGTCAGATTACATCGAAAACTTGTTGGCTAATCGGCGTCGGACTGGCCATTGTCGTTTACGGCCTATTTTGGCTACCGATACTGTCGATAGTGGGCTTTTTGTTTGGTTTTTTCAACGAACCGACCACCGGTAGCGATCATAAAGGACCAGAGGCCGGTGCGGGTGCAGAGATCAAAGAGGCAGCCAATATAGACGACCCGAATACTACCCGAACCAATATGAGCGACGAACACGACTACTATAACCAGTTGACAAAAGGCAACCAAAGAGTCAAATCTATATCTCAATACAAGGGCTTACACGTGAAAACAGGTAGTAAACCGTCGACAGCCGGCGGCTCAAAAGATTCTGGCGGTTCCGGCAAACAGTCGTCGGCCGACAAGTCATCGGGCGTCAAGAAATCTAAATCTACCGAATCGATTGGCGATCGCTATTATAAACAGCTTATCGGTAAGGATGCCAAAGTCAAGTCGGTATCACAATATCCAGGTGTAGGCAAAAAATAAGGTCATACCATACATATGTACTGTACTTTAGTGTATGTATGTATGTATCACTCATATCTATCTATCTATCATTCATTTTATTTCAGTCATCTATCCTCCATCAGACAAAACAAAACTATACAAAAAAAATATGATAATATATTATATAATATAAAATACTACTAATAATATTTATAATATAATAATAGTCTATCGATTTTTTTTTGTGTGTCAGTAAATTTAAATTTTATAATTATTTTTTGTTTGTTTTTTGTTTTTCATGTGATATTATGTTTTGATATTATATATATTTTTTTAAAAATTAAAAACAAAAAAAAACTGTATATATAATTAACTATTGAATACTGTATATATGTTTTTTTTAAGTAAAAATATGTTTTGTTTTTTATGATTTTATTTTTCAACAACATTTCATTTATCACGAATACATTAACAATATATATATATAGTATATATATAATTATATATTTGTTTTCAACAAAAAAATATATATCAATATATTAAATGTTTTTTCATGTCTTATTCATTCAAATTAATTTACAATTATATTTCAACAAATAATAGTTTAATTTGCATTAAAATTTTTTTGTTATTTTATTTTTCGTTTGTTTGCTTAGAAATTATTTTTGAAAAACAAAAAATTAAATGTTGTTTGTCTTTCTATTAATATATCTATAAATAAATATTTATATTAAATATTTAAAAAAAAATCTTGAGATATGAGATAATTAATTAAACAAATATTTTATAAAATATAAACAAATTATTATTATATTAATAATGATTGATTAAATATAATGAATAACATGACAAGTAAATTGTCAAATATATATGAAAATACATGTATTAAATGAAACACAACAACAAAAACAATAAACATTTCAACAACAACAACAAAAAACAACCATAAAAACAAAATATAAAGTTTATATCATAAATATATTTAACAAATAAATATTAAAAAAAACAACTTTCAAACCTCCCTTAATATAAAGCATAACTAAATTTTCATAAACAATAACAACAAAAATATATACATATAAATATTAAAATACATAATTACACCCAAAAATTATTGATTAAACTGTATATAAATATAATATATTAATATCTGTATAAACTTTAAGTTGCAAAAAAACAATACAAAAATATATAAAGAAAATTAATTAATGATTGAAAAACAATACAATTATAGAGATCTTTATATAATATTTATGATATATTTAATGATAAGTATATATATATATATAAAAATATATTTAACCGAATTTTATTGTTGTTGTTATCATACACTTTAAAAAAGATACCACAAATGTTTGGCCACCGATAGATAATAATCGGGGATCAGTTATCTATAGACAATGTAATTGTTGTCTATAGTTTAGTGCGGATATTTTTGCCCCATATTGTCGCAGATAGCGTCGGGCCGCCAATTGACTGATCTGATGTACGTCGGCCAACGGGTTGGCCTCTTTGGCCATCATTGTCATTGTCAGCGGAAACCAAGTGTCCAACGAATGATTTAGTTCGACAACAATATAGCGTTCAATGGGATCGCCTGAGGTTACGTCCAGACGATAGCCGTCAGCCGTATCGCCCGTCAAACCCATTGCCAATTGAATCTTACTGTTGGCCTCTGGAGTGGTCTCTATGAACACTAGGGGACAGATATTGTCTATACAGATGATCAGTCGATTCATATCAATGAACGGTATGGTTATATTGTAGGCAAACTGTATGCCTGTTATGTTTGGCGTAACGTACAGCAGTCGTAGCCATTTGCGGCGCAATTCAATGGCCAAACATTGGGCTACGAAAGTGCCGAACAGCGCTCTACTGGTTATTTCGTCGCCGATTAGTGTGTCCAACATGTCGTCGCTGCGGATACCGCGTCGTAATTTCGTATCTTTACGGTCAATGTCATCGCCCGACTGGTCAACTGGCGGTCGTTTATCGGGTCGGCCGTCGTGGACCCGATGGCCACACGAGCATTCGTCGGCGGCAGTGGTTCCCGAGTTGAGGACTCCCGAAGTCTTGAAGCGTGATCTCATAGTCAACAGCCGTAGCAGACAGTGGTCGCAAATGGCCATCAAGTTGTAGGCCACACACGTGCATAGATCGCAGGCCAGATCATTATCATCGTTGTTGTTGTTGTTGTTGTCCATCATTGATGACATGATTTTCGGGTAGTAGTAGTAGTCTTCGGCAGAAATTTTAACCAAAAAAACCAAAAAAAAAGTTTAATTTTTTTTTTATAACTTTTTTTTTTATTGATGATTGAAATCAATGCCTACTTATAGTACTATTAATGCTATTAATAATAGTCTAATAATAATCGTCTGCTTATGTGTCGTAAACTTGTGTGTGTGTGTGTTATGAATCACTTGTGTGTCGGCCATTGTATTACACACACACACACACACACTGACCGTACGTGTTGTATGTATGGGGCGGTCAGTGACTAATAGAGTTCGAACTGTTTATATATATATATATATAGTTGGATGGCCTACACATATATGTGTCATATGTGTAATTTACCCAGGTAATTGGTAAACAATTATTTGTTTGTTTGCTATTTTTATTATTTACCAAAAAAAATTAATAATTAAAATATACCATGTACCAAATATGTTTAATAATAACTAATAATAATAATTAAAAACTTAACTGTTTTCATCATCATCAAATATATATATAGTATAATTTATTGTAAGTATTAAAAAAAAACTTTATTTATTATTTTGTTTTGTTTTAATTAAATAATTAATTTATGTGTAAATTAAATCAATTGTTTTTTTTAATTACAATAAAACAAACAAAATAAATCTATTAATAGTTTTGCTAACAAAAAAAATAATTTTAAATAATAATAATAATAAAACATTTATATATATATATTTATATACAGAAAGAGATACATACACTTAACAAACATATTGATAAATACGTGTTGAGAGAGAGAGAGAGAGAGAGAGAGAGAGAGAGAGAGAGAGAGAGAGAGAGAGAGAGAGAGCACCTGTATGTTTGCCACTATACTACCATAAGCTTAGGGCATGTTTGCCCAAAATAACTAATACACACACACACACACACACACACACACACACACACACACACACACACAGAGAGAGAGAGAGAGAGAGAGAGAGAGAGAGAGAGAATATTTATTTAAATAGCTGAGAATCGGCCAACAACTACAAAAAAAATGAAATGAAAGCTAACCTAACTGTCCATTTAATAGGCAACAACAACAACAACAACATAACTGAGCTTTTCATTGATGGCAAACAACACCATCATTTGAGAGCCCCCGCGACCTATGCCTGCAATCCATACAAACATACAGTTAGACAGTAGTGAGTGAATGAATGAATGAATGGATGGGGTTTTCAACCAACAAAAAAACTATTGAAAGATACTGTATGTATGTATGTGTGTGTGTTGTTTGGATTTTTTGTTGGGAAAGCCATCAAAAATAAAGTAAAGTTAAGGCCTTTCGGGTGCTGTCTGTCATCACTGCCTACCAACTCGTGCAGTGATTATATCGGTGTTTAAATATGATTATTATTATTGTTATATTATTGTTATTACAATTACTAGTTTTATTGCTACTACTATTAAAACTATTTGCTACTATACTAACTACTATAATAATAAATCTATTGATAATATACTAGTAGTATACACTGTGTGTGTAATATAATATTGTCTAACAATTATCAACAACAAAAAGACAACACAAATAATAACTGCATTTTCAACGCTTTTTGTGCCCACTATTAGACTAGTTTTCTCTATAATCTAATGATAACCCTATCGTCCAAATCATTTAGTGCCCAATAATTAAATTGTTATATATATTTAGTGTTTGGTCATTGCACACACATACACACACACACACACATACATACATAGACACACCAGCTGTAAGCTACCGGTCCCTACCCGTTGATGCCCAAGTGATTATTTAGTCAGCATTTATAGTATATATATACTGTATATATATTTATTTATTTATTGTATAAGTTATATACTCTCTCTCTCTCTCTCTCTCTATCTATAGTTTTAGTTTATTAAAGCGATATTTACTATTTATTTTCAAATAAATTGTTTGGTTGGCGTATATATATATATAAAACTTTTTGTAAATTGTTTGCATTAAAAATTACCATTTAATTTTCATTGTATTATACTGTATACACTGTATTAATATATATATATATATATATACAGTGTATATAATATAAATTACTTTTAATATCATATATCATACATTGCAATGTACAATATATGAGTTATTAATATAATTTTTATAATTAATGTACATTTTCTATAATGGTGTGCATAAAATATGGACATTTGATAATAATAATAATAATAATCGTATCGTAAAGGTATCGGAGTTCAGTGTCATCAATAGGTCATTGAATTCATTTATATTATCAGATATAAAGTATATACTGGTATATACAGTGTATATCTTATTTGTAAAACAAGTAATTATTTGTTTGTAACAAATTTGTTTGGTTTATACGGTATACTCTATATATATATGGAGGGGTCGGGTAGTTAGTTGTTATATAAACTAGAGAATCTATGTGTATGTGATAAGTATAGTGAACATCGAGAGCACATAGCATCGACATCTCTCTCTCTCTCTCTCTCTCTGTCCAAAAAACATCTAACATCTCCTCCATCCCCGCCCAATAAAATTGTTTATTCACTTCACGATGTCTTTCACACCATCAGCAGCAGAGAGAAAGAGAGAGAGAGAGAGAKAGAAATAGTAGCGCTAATAATGACTATCCCTATCTCTGACAAGTAATGCCGGTGCAGAGATAGAGAGTATAGGCTCTATACTTAAATATTATATCATATAATATAAGTTATATATAAATTTATATTTAGATAGTCTTCGAGTTAGTATATGTCTTATAAATACTGTATACCAACAAAAAATGCTAGTTTTATATATACARTATATATACTGAGTTTATATAGAGTATATGTATAATGTATGTACAGTATATAATTGCTATCAAATATGTCAGTTACAATATGTATATAATATTTATTGTTAACAAAAAAAAATAATAAT